ATACTTCATTCAAGTTAATACTTGTTAATGTTATAACTTTTTTTTCTTTAAGTCAACCCTTTTGCTCTTCCTTCCTATGCACCAATGCATCCTTCCCATCCATAGAGGATTTGTAGAATTGTGGTTTTCTCTTGTAAAACATGGAATTGCTTACAGACAGAAAAAGGAGAAAGCAGCATTTATTCAGGAACTGAGAGACCTCTGCTGGCTAAGTGGCTTGCTGAGTGCTTTTCTGATTTTATTACTGAGAAAGTAAGATCTACTGCTTGATCTCAATGTTAGTGATTGCCTTAGAATTAAATTATAAGTGATTTGAATGTTCAATGTGTGAAGATATTGAGCTCAAAGCAGCTAAAAGACTTACTAAGCGTATTCTAAATGAGTCCTGGTATAATGCTGTAGGATAAGCACTAGACTGCTAACCATAAGGTAGCTGTTGAAACCCAACAATCGCTCTTCAGAAATCCCACCCAGGGTTGCTGTGAGTCAGAAGTGACAGTATGGCACTTAACTAACTAAATTAAATACTGGTACCAACTCTGATGAGTAGATTTACATTGGTAGACATAACCCTAAAGAAATGCCCTGTCGGTAGATAACATTTCTGAAAGATAGATATACTGTTCTTCAACAGGTTCATTAAAGTAAAAGTATTCTCCTAAATTCATTTAACTTCACAGTGAGGCATGAGATGTGCATTAAGCTAGGCTGGTATTTATGAATACTTTTTAAGGAATATGGACTTAATATTGTCATTATCTCCTTTGAGGATGAGGAATGAAAATGTGGCTTCAATTGAAGCAAGAGAAATGTAATATAGTTTTTATTGTTGAGTAAGGGTGACCAGAAAGGTGGGAATTAAGTACTTTATTGAATTCCCTTGCTAGACTGTGACCAAGACTTGGTTTCCTAAGAATGTGTAGATAAACATCGAAAGGATGAATCAAGGATTTGAGGTTCTACAGTTCTACTCCCTTTGTATAACATTCTGTCAAGATGGAATCAGGCAATAAGAAGCAACTATGATGATAGTCTTGCAGGACAAAAATCACATAAGAATGATCTGTAAAACTTGTGGGAATGAAGTATAGTAAGGGATAGGCTAAGCTGTTGTAACATGTTGTTAGGTGCCATCAAGGTGGTGCTGACTCATAGCAACACTATGCACAATAGAATGAGCACTGACCAGTCATGCAACATCCCCACAATTGTTACATTTGAACCCATCTTGTTGGGGGTCTCCTCTTTTTGCTAGGTCTCCACTTTAATAAGCATGACGTTCTTCTCCAGATACTGGTCCCTTCTGACAACATGTGCAAAGAAGAAGAGACAAAGTCTCACCAGCCTTGCTTCTAGGAGAATTCTGGGTATACATCTTCCAAGACAATTTGTTCTTCTGACAGTCCATGGTACTTTCAATATTCTTCATCAGCACCATAATTCAAATGCGTTGATTCTTCTACAGTCTTTCATATTCATTGTCCAACTTTCACATGCATATGAGATGATTGAAAACACTATGGTCAGGCCCACTTTAGTAATCAAAGTGACATGTTTGCTCTTGAATTTTAAAGAGATCTTGTGCAGCAGATTTGCCTAATGCAATATGTCTTGTGATTGCTTGACTGCTGCTTTCATGAGCATTGATTGGGGATCCAAACAGAATGAAGTCTTCAGCCACTTTGTATTTTTTCTCCATTTATCATATTATTTATTGCCCAGTTATGAGGATTTTCATTTTATATTGAGGTGTAATTTATATTGAATGCTGTAGTCTCTGATCTTCATCAGCAAGTATTTCGAATCCTCTTGCTCCCAGAAAACAAGGTTGTGTCATCTGCATATCACAGGTTGTTAATGAGATTTCCTCCAATCTTGAATCCATGTTCTTCTTTATATAATCCAGTTACTCAGATTATTTGCTTAGCATACAAATTGAATTAAGTATGGTGAAAGAATACAACCCTGACACACACCTTTCCTGATTTGTAACCATTCAGTTTCCCTTGTTCTATTCTAACAACTGCCTCTTGGTCTATGTGCAGGTTCCTCATGAGCACAACTAAAAGTTCTGGAATACCCATCCTTTGCAATTGTATCCATAGCTTGTTATGATGCACACATTTGAATGACTTTGCATAGTCAATAAAGCACAAGTAAGCATCTTTCAGGTATTCTCTGCTTTCAACCCAGATCCACCTGATGCCAGCAATGATGATATCCCCAGGTCCATGTCCTCTTCTGAATCTAGCTTGAGTTTCTGGCAGCTCCTTGTTGATATTTTGCTGCAACATTTTGAAATATCTTCAGCAAAATTTTACTTGCATGCTATAGTAATGATATTGTTCTATGATTTTTGCATTCTGTTGGGTCACCTCTCTTTAGAATTAGCACAAATAAGGATTTCTTCCAATCAGTTAGTCAGGTAGCCCCCTTACAAATTTCTTGGCATAGATGAGTGATTTCCTCCAATGCTTCATCAGTTTATTGAAATATTTCAATTCATATTATATCAATTCCTGGAACTATGTTTTTCACCAATGCCTTCAGTTCAACTTGGACTTCTTCCTTCAGGACAATTGGCTCCTAATCATATGTGATCTCTTGAAATGGTAGAATATCGACCATGTCTTTTTGGTACAGTTACTCTCTGTTCCTTTTATATTTCTGTGTCATTCAATATTTTACCCATAAAATCTTTCAGTATTGCAAGTCGAGGCCTGAATTTTTTTCTTCAGTTCTTTTAGCTTGAGAAATGCTGAGCATGTTCTTCCCTTTTGGTTTTCCTGATTCAGGCCTTTGCACGTTTCATTATAATACTTTACTAGGTGTATGGATGTTGTCCTATCACAGACAGCATTGTAGCTAAGGATAGATCTTTAAATGTTCTTTTTGACAATGAATTCTATTCCATTTTTCTTCCACTCTTCATTCCTAGTCTGGTAATCCATATAATTGCCTTTTCACAGGACCAGTATCAGCCCTTTTCAGCATAATAATGCTTAGGATATCTGTCTTTTTGTGTTCCATTTAATTTTTTACAAGTTTCCATTTTTCTAGATTCATACTTTGTGCATTCCATTTTCCAACTGTTGGATGTTTGTAGCTGGTTCTACTCATTTTGAGTTGAGTCCCATCAGCAAATGAAGGTCCTAAAATGTTTACTTCATCTATGTCATTAAGGTCAACTTTACTTTGAGGAAGTAGCTCTTCCCCCGTGACATTTTGTGAACCTTCCAAGCTAAGAGGCTAATCTTCCACTTCCAGCACTATATCATACAATATCCTGCTTCATTTGACATGGGTTTCTCTCTATATATAGTACCTAAGATAGGTAGGGGAATGAGATTTTGTACTGTGGTGGTACACGACTGCTTTATTCTACAAAGTCACTCAAAGCCCAAGGCCAACAGGTCAGTAATTCCATTCTGAGCATATAGCTCCCATCTCTGAATCCAAGGCTGTTGTAATTGTTAAACCTTTTCAGTTAGTGAGAAGGGGATAAGAAGAGTCCAGGGCAAGCATTGTTAAATAAATAGTCTGGAAGTTGCTCTCATCCCATTTGCACATATATCATTGACTTAAACTAAGTCACAGGTCACCGTTAGCTGCAAAAAAAAAAAAAATCTGGGCAACATAGTATGTAGCTAGGAATACATGGGACCAGTAAAAAGAAGCAAGATTATGGTAGAAGTTTCTCTTAACTAAAAGTCAGAAAGGACACATATATACTTTTGGGGGAGACAGTCAGTTGTTTCATATGGATTAAAAGACCAGCAGCAGTATACACCACAAAAATTTTTGGTTCAGAGGACTAGAGCGGAGACTGAAGTGTCCAGCTGATATGAAGTGAACGGAGGTGTACAAAAATGCCCATCCTTGCAGATAGTACCCATTTGACCTAGCTTCAGTGGCTGGATGATCAGAACTCGACTAGAGGAAAAAGACTATAATCCACTACAATTTGATGAACTTTACCTATAGTTATGGATATAGTAGCTGAAAAGAGGGAACACATCTTTACAGGAAAGACCATTCCCACCCTCTTCATACACAGGGCTGTCAGGGATGGGCAACTTAGACATTGGCTACCCAAAATGGGTGGCGGTGGGGGGGAGCAACAAAGGCATGAAGTGACTGGCTTACACGTTTTTAAGAAGGAGCTTAGTTTCAGAGAGTGTGGAGGAAGGTAGAATCTCCACTGAATTGTTTCCAACTTGTCTAGATGGGACTGGTGAAGGGAGATGGGGAAAAGACTCTTGTGGTTCAATAGTAAATAATTGCTATCAGGACTGATTGTGAATGTTACGAATGTAAAGTAGATATTTTGTAACAAAAGGAGGGGAGTGGTTAATCTGGCAGTCCAGGAGCAGAGGACCCTGGGACCATCAAGGGAGAAGAGCAGAGTGCTGGACCCTATCCAGAGAAGCAGCAACACCAGAGATGGAGGCAGAGATAATGACATGAAGAGACAGAGTGGCTGGGGACTCTAGACTCAAGGAGGGAGAGGGGCTGTGTGCTGGTGGCCGGGGGCCACCCTTTGGTTGTTTGAGTTGTTATATATTCCTGAGCACTTTGTGTACATTTATAAAACAAAACAAAACTAACAAAAAGAAAACCAAAAAAAAAACAAAACAAAAACAGAGAGATTGAAAGCAAATGCTGTGGAATGATGATGCATGGAGGGGATTGAAATCTTTGCAATGAAACGAAATACGATAGAATGAATATAAAGCTGATGCTCTCCCATGTAAACTAGCACTCAATTCACAATAAAAACTTTAAAAAAAATTTTTGTTAAAGAAACAAAACTTTAGGTTCAGAGTAAGGTGAAAGGTCATATGTTTCTTCTAAAAGAACCTCTGTGAACTTGTACCCAGTCTTATGCTTTACATTAATATCTGAACAAGAAATATTTGCTCCTTTGTATGATCAAAGTTAACTGAACATACATTGAACGTATGTTTTTGTTTTTTCCCTTTGCCTTTCAATGTCTGTAGCTCAACCTAATTGGAGTCAAAAAATAAATGATATCCACGTAGCCATTGAAGAAAATGTATTTTGGGAATGTAAAGCAAATGGAAGGCCAAAGCCGACATACAGGTGGCTAAAAAATGGTGAACCACTGTTAACTCGGGTAAGCCAATGGTTGATAATTGTGCCTTAGTATTTATTGAATATAATGTTTTATGTGGACTTATTGCTATGGAAACAGGGAGACTGTGAGTTGATTCAAAAATAACATGCAACCAAATGCCTATAATAATGGAAAAAGTGAAGGTGAATTCTGTTGATGAATCATGTGGAGATCCATTTTTCCGCCTCCTTCTGTTATGTTTCCATTACTGTGGGAAAGGTATGCAGATCAAGAACATGTCATTTTGCTAAGATGTAAATCTACCAATGTAGAAGGTGAGAGCCAGTTGCTTAGCAAGTTGAGTGACTTCTTGACATTTGTTATGAATTAAATTGTGTCGCATCAAGATGGGTATTGTAAATCCTAACTCCTATATAAGTCCTGATGTGGCACTGTAGGATAAGCACTAGATTTCTAACCACAAGACTGGCAGTTCAAACCCAGTGGCTGCTCCTCAGAAATCCTATTCAGGGTCACTGTGAATCTGAACCAACTAGACTGCATATGTAAGTAAATGTAATACTATCTTAAGGAGCTCTGGTAGCATAATGGTTATGAGTCGGCCTGCTAACCTCAAGGTCAGCAGTTCGAAACTACCAGCAATTCCACAGAAGAAAGATAAGTCTTTCTTCTCCTGTAAAGACTTACAGCCTCGGAAACCCAATACTGGGTGGCTGTGAGTCGAAACTGACTCCACACTACACCACCACCACCACCACCAATACTATTTTGGAAAAGATATTTCTTTTGTTATGTTAATTTATATTAATGAGGTCATATCAGTGTCAGATGTCCTTTAAACCAATCACTTTTGAGATATAAAAGGAGCAGAGTAGGAACAAAAATATGGTATGACAAACAAACAAGGGAGGATAGATTCTGCATGAAGATCACTAATAATAATTATTATGATATGTTGGCATTTTCCTCTTAGGAAATGTTGCTGTTGATTGTTTATTGTTATTGTCATTAAGTACCATCTAGTCGGTTCCTATTCATAGCAACCCTATACTCTGAGGAGTGGCTGGTGAGTTTGAACCTCTGACCTGTGGTTAGCAGTCCAGTACTTATCCTACAGCACCACACCAGGACTCCATGCAAAATGTAGAGAGGAGGATATTTCAATTCACTAATTCAGTGAAACAGACAAGGATCTCGTGCCAGAGCAGATAGAGAGAGCCTTTCTCTAAATTTGAACTTCTAGCCTCCTAAACTTGAGAAAATAAATTTCTATTCATTAAAGCTACCCACTTGGGATAATGCTGTTATCATCACTGTAAATAACTAACACAGCATCCAAAGCCCCATTCCAGTATGGTTTTGTTATTCTTGTGTGTCCAGAGAGACTTCTGTACAATTTGAGGCAGTAAGTTCACCATCAAAATACCCACTTGGCCTCAAGCACATAGCAGTGACAGACTCAAGCACAAGATTAATGTCTCTGTGAAACATAAGTAGAGCAAAAACTAAACGTGATGAGTGGGACTGAAGTCAGCAACCCATGGGCATGGAAGCAAGTTATGGTACCTGGGAATTCAGGTGTAAAAAATGCTGTACTAAGACAGTACAAAGGCCAGGGGATTAGAGACCCTTTCCACCTGTTGCTTCAGATGAAAGGATCAAATTGCTGCCTTGTGTAATCGGATGCCACAGTGTAAGTGAGGTGTCAGAGACTGAGCCAGAGCTAGGGGACAGGTGTTGCCCTGTTATACAGGGCAGGACCTCCCAGAGGTTCTGACTCTACCTGTTTCTAGACTGGTGGCTCAGGGAACAAAATGGAAGCAGCCACAGAATTGCTAAACAGAAAGAAAAGGAAAAAAGCAAACAACTTCCATTCAAAATAAGCTTGCAAATCAGTATTCTGAAACACACAAGGAACAATCAATGGAGTCGTCCAGTAAAGAAAGAAAAATAGGTATGCTTAGGATGCTGTGGCTGTGTAGGGTAAGCTCTGGACTGCAAACCATAAGACTGGAAGTTTTAGTCCACCAACCGCTCCGTGGGAGAAGGATGTCATTTTCTGCTACTACACAGATTTACAGCCTCGGAAACCTTATACAGGGTCGCTGTGAGTCAGAACCTACTCGAGGGTCCCTAGCAACAAGGATGCTGAAAAGGAATCCAGGTGATGCCAGTGGTGAAGTGCTTGGCTGTTAACCAAAGGGCTGGTGATTCTTCAAACCCACCAGCTCTTCTCCAGTAGAGAAATGCAGCCGTCTGCTTCCATAAAGATTGCAGCCTTGGAAACCCTACAAGGCAGTTTTGCTCTGTTCTACAGGGTCCCTTTGAGTTGGAAAAATTTAACAGCAATGAGTTTTAGGATGCTCAGAGAAATAAATGAACGTACTAGATCCATAAAAATAAAAACAACATTTAAAAAATAAGCAGGTCGTTTTTCTTTTTTATAAAAAAACAAAACAAATAATAGAAGTATATCATCATTGAAATAAAAATTTCAACAGACTATTTAAATTTTAAAATAGAAAAATTTGAAGAATAGATTTGTGAATTGAATAAATTTCTATTCATACTATATACATTTTGTAAATGAGGAGTGCTGTATTATTATAATATTCCTAACACATTTAGAAAGTGTATGTCTCAAGCAATTTTAGCAAAGTATAACCACTGGACTGCTAACCACAAGGTCAGCAGTTCAAACCCACCAGCTGCTACTCACAAACCCTATAGAGCATCGCTGTGAGTCAGAACCAACTTGATGGCACTTAGCAACAACAACAACAACCTGGATTAACACTTCACATGTATTATGTCATTTTATGTTTGCAGGAGACTGTAGAAGGAAAGTGTAAATAATTATGTCCATTTTACAGATGAGTAAAAGTAAGACTGAGCCATTTGCCTAAAGTCACATTGTTAGTAATGGAACCTAGATTCAAATATCCAGAACTGTTGTTGTTGTTGTTGTTAAGTGTTGTTAAGTCAGTTCCAACTCATAGTGACCCTCTATAGGGTGTCTGAGGAATGACTGGTGAGTTTGACCCTCCCCCCTTGTGGTTCAAACCAGCTTTGTGATGGAGTACTTATCCTACTGTGCCACACCAGGACTCCAGAACTCTTTCCCTAGGAAAAGGAATGAGGAGGAGAATATGTGATACAGAGGGAAGAAAACCATAAATACTGTTTTGTTTTGACAATTAAAACACGATGTTTATTTGGCATTTGAAGAAAGCAAACCTGGATTCTTTCTTACACTAAGCTTTCTAATCCAGTTATCTATTATATTAACACATAAAGTTCCAAATTGCCAAATCAGCACTTTATTCTGTCTAAAAATTAAAGGAAATGTGAGGATGTTAAATCTGCCTGTACCCACTAAATTAAATATTCTACCAAAATGACCAAAATAAAGTATATCCAGTTATCCTCTGTATATTATTCTTTTTTTAGTTGCTCAAAAGTGGAAACAAATCTTTACAACAAGGATCATTCCCACTCCTATGGTACACAGAGTTGACAGGGATGCGCAACTTAGACATTGGCTACCAAAAGTGGGGGTCAGGGGGCTACAAAGGCACGAAGTGACTCGTATAAAAGCTTTCAAGAGGGGGAAGAAAAAAAAACCAACAACTTTTCTTCACTCTATCTTAGTCCGATTCTCTAGAAACAGACTCTCAGAAAGAGATTTGCATGCAGAAGGTGTATTTGATGGGAGAATGTTCTGACGAATATCACCTGCAGGGGAGGCAGGACTGGCCATGGGAAAGTTAAACAGTGATGTACTTGCAGCAGAGACCTCCAGAGAATGCAGAATCACTCTTCAACATCTCCAAAATTGAGGCATGGGAGCAGACAATGCACCAGTGTAGTAATCAGTCATTGGATTTGGGAAAGAGGGTATGACCTTGGGTTAGGCAACTCCCATCAGCCAAGGGCAGTTCCTGGAGAGAGATTCCGAAGTAAACTGACAAGACTCTTCTCATTGGAGGAGAGGGAAAGTTCCTTAATCATGAAAGGAGTATCTGGAAGGTGGAACCCACATGCACCACAAGAAGAGCATTGATGGAATACAGGAGTATACAACTAAAGGGAATGTTCACATTGTCGTTAAGTGTCATTGAGTTGGTCCTCACTCATAGCGACCTTGTATAGCATTTTCAAGGAGCGGCTGGTGGGTTTGAACCACATACGTTGTGGTTAGCAGTCCATTGCTGTTCTTGTAGCACCACACCAGGAGTAGGACCCCGACAAATAAGTCAGAATGAAGTGAGAGGAGAGAAAGAGCTTCGAGTGAGGAACAATTGTGTTCAATTTTGTTTTCCTTACTGTATTTTCCCATTGACTTCAAAAGTTTCACTGAAATCTGGTATTTTCCCAGGTTCCATGTTGAGATCCCATGTTTTGTTTGTTTTGTTTTTTTTGTGTGTGTGTGTGCTCAGATGTTTTCCTGCCTAGGCTTCCCAGAGAAGGGTACCTGCTCTAAGCATATGCCTAACCAACTGCCCAGACGTTAGTGTGCTGTTTTTCCTGCACCTTTTTCCTGCAGGTTGCTCAGAGCAGACACCCAATAGGAATGGGAATCATTTTGCCTCCTGCTCCCACCTCCTGTTACATACTTCTCCTCTCACTGTAAGAGAGCCTTCTTGGTACTGTGATTCGCACAGATATAAAAGCTAAAGTCAAACAAATTGCTCAAGTGGAGGTACCCAGCTAACACGTTTTCCTCCTTTTACATAATGCAAGGGACCTGAATGCCTGGATTTGATCAAAACCCAATAATGTGTCCACCCAGCTAAAATGCAACCCTGTGGCAAACAGAAACCCAGTCCTTTTTATATATTTTTTTTTGTTCTTCAAGTGGCAGGTCTTCTGAGGAGGAGACCTTTTGTGGTACTTATGAAAATAGATAACACAAGTTGTATATCCTCAGGCTGACAAATGAGAATGGTCTTTTGTTCCATACAGTAACTTGGCTTTCCTCAGGTTGGCTACCAACAGATGGTCCCAAGCTTTAATCATGTCACGAACAGCAATAAAGTAAGGCAGCGTTAAATTATTAATTTTTTTTTTTTTTTAGTAAACCTCAACCGATATTAAATGCTTGCCTCTGCATAATCCAAGAAGATTATAATCCTATTAACCTTCAGAGTGTTGCCTGCCCCTAATTTGAGTATTTTAAATGCTGTAAACAGTAAATTTGGTTGAATTTTTTCCCCCTAGTTTACATAACTCCTTAGAGTAAGTAAGCGTTTTGAATTTCAAGTTCATCTTTTTCAAAGGGATAGTAATCTGAATGGTTTCACTATTAAATCAGTGATAAATCAAGAGAATCCTACCATTTAAATTCCATTTACCAAGGATGTACTGATTGCTCTACTTAGCATCTGACCTGCCACAAATTTAGTTGACAGATAAATAGATCATGTTATGTAAATTGCTTATGTGACAGCTATTTTCTTCCCATTAAGTCCCCCCTTGCTCTAATGTAGAACTAAATTGTCGTAAAGGTTTCTGTTGTAGAAGGTCATTGTTTTCATGTTCCTTCTCTGCTTTCACAGGACAGAATGCAAATTGAGCAAGGAATGCTCAACATAACCGTGGTCAACCTCTCAGATGCTGGCATGTATCAGTGTGTGGCAGAAAATAAACACGGAGTTATCTTTTCCAATGCAGAGCTTAGTGTTGTAGGTGAGTCTTTATACTGAAAAGAATCACTAAACTAACATGTGGTTTGCCAAGCATAAATGCTCAATTCAAGAAAAAGGGTAAAGAAATTTTCAGGCTAAAGATTTTGCTCTAGAAACAAGCAATGAGTCTACCAGCAGGAAGAAGACACCACTTTCGGAATCCATCTCTTCCGATGCTTACAATGGGTAGTACAGCTCCCTTGGTGCTCATTTTTATTCCTCTATCGACCGTAGTTCTAAATTGAGCAGTGTTTCTGCAGTGCTTTAGAGTCTGCTGCTGCCGTTCTGATTTGGTGTGAACTTCAGCTCGGAGTGAGAAAGAGCTGACTCAGTTTGGAAAGGTTTATTTGAACAGCTGGCAGAGTGAATCTTGTTCCTCCTATACTTGGCACTACTTGGCCCACCCCTTCACCCACAGCTTTCTCAGTGTGCCTCTTCCTTCTTCCTCTTCAGCCACACGGACCTTTCTGCTATTCACTTGTGTCACCCTCTCTCCCCACCATCCTCTCTCCCCACTCCCCTTCTGCCTGGAGTGGTTTTCCTTCCTCTCCTTAATTTCAATAACTTCTTCCCATTCTTCTCTCTCACTTCACTGTTGCTCACTCAAGTCACTCTTCCTGCTGAATCGTTTTATACTTTCTTGCAACTCTTCCTTATAACAAGATCTACAGCTGTGTTATATCTTTGTTTCTGCTCTTATTTTGTCCTTTCCCTCCTCTGTAATGTAACTTTTCCATGGTGTCAAGGATCCTATTAGATTCAGTTCACCATTTCATTCTCAGTGCTCCAGGCAACACTGATGTGCATGCTGCATACTCAATCAATGTAGAATGAACGAATGTGCTAAGTGAATGAAGTAGTTGAGCGTCTCTTTAAAGAATGAGTTAATGAGTTAAATAAATACACAAGTGAAAGGATAAGTTGAGTAAATTGATGAGTCTATGGGCATTAAACATATTTTAAAAGTCCAGACTATCAGTTTGTATGTGTGCCTAGAAAAATCCTAACATTGGCTTCAAATATGGGTCAGAATCGACTTCACAGCGCTTAACAACAACAACAAGGAAAACCAGGATGATGATAGCCCTCCCCTTAAAAAAAAAAAGAGCAAATGTAAATGATTCTGATACTCGCTCTTCATTGAGAGGACATGAGCGGTGATTATGATCCTTAGAAAAATCATAATCCAGAGATTCCCAGTAAGAAGAGAGAGGCAGCGTTGCAAGGGACCCTGATGATTGGCACAGTGTCAAAGTCCTGACTTCCCATCTACAACACCCTTCTTGGTGCCTAGTATGTGGCCTTTGCATGTGTAGGTAGCTACTCCCCAGGTGATGTGCTTCCACAAGGTGCAAGATGAAAAGGAAAGGGAAAGGGTCCATAACTTCTCTTCTCATCCTGTCCTTCAGCATGGCCCAACAGCTCAACAGGAAAACAAAAATCAGTGAGAGCTCAGGGGGCTGCACAAATTCTTTTTTCCAAAGAGCTCTAGGAACCACTCTGTGCTCCTTGACTAATAATCAGCCTTCTCAACACTATTGTATAAGCCTGACCTTTTGGAAAGGTAAACATACCTGCATATTGTTGTTGTTGTTAGGTGCTAGTGACTTGTCTCCAACTCATAGCAACCCTGTGTACAGCAAAATGAAGTGTACATAGGTTCCAGCCTGTAGATGCGCTAACAGTAGCCTAGTCTCATCCAGGACTAAAACAGTCATTTCACCCTGTGTAGGTTTGCTCTAATTATTGATACTTGCAGATACTCTTTGGAGAATGATTCATGATGTTAAATTGCTTAAAAATTTCCTCTGGAAAAACATGTGTTCCCTTTTTAACCGTGTGCTATCAAGTGGATTGTGACTCAGAGTAACCCTATAAGCCATGGTACAGTTGCTCCCGATGCATTTAGACTGCTGACCTTTGGTTAAGCAGTCAGTGTTTAATGTCCTGCACACCAGGACTCCAGTGTGTCAGCTAGTTGTAGGAATAGTTAAAGCTTGAGAGACTGTGGTCTAATGAACAAACCATGTTGTGCTAAAGCCCTCCCAATGAGTATTTGCCAATTCATAAGGCTGAGAACCTTTTTATAATTTTATGAGATTTTGTCAGTCTCTTTATTAAAGTAATAAAATATGGTAATAAGAGATGATCACAGTATTATGAAAAAAACTAATTATTGTTATCTATAATAGCTACATGAACCGACTCCATGACACTAAACAACAACAACATAATATCTACATACACATTTCTGAAAACTATAAAATATACATATAAGAAGGTAATATAAGTTGAGAAGTATTTTTGATGGATATGTGGAGAATTAGACAATCAATACTCTTTGCTCAACCCTTTCTATACCTTCCCCTGCGTTGAAAGCCTGAGATTTGGGCATCGCTGCTCCAAGTTTTACATGCTTAGATTTATTTCAAATCATTTCTAATTGGAACTGTCTAATGCCAAATGAATTCTTGATCCTAGTCTTTCAAGTCATTTTCTTGAGTCCTCCAAGGGTGGCAAGAAACTCCTGAGAAGTTTACAACAATCCTGATCACAACCATGTTTAACATTAGAACAGAAGGGAGATACCAGTGAATGGAACAAACTGGAAGTAAAAATAAAGCTTCCAGGAATTCAGGAAATGAAGTTTAGCTAGTGGGCAGAACTGGCAAGCAGAACCTTGAGCAGTACTTTCTATATGGAAAGTCAGAAGACCAAGAATAGTCCAGATCGCAGTGAAATGACCTGAACAAAAGCTCAAACTTCAAAAGCAAACCAAGGAGAGGCTCATACACGTACATCATCCCTAATGTTTTTCAAATATGTTAACTGAATGTATGCTCTGCGCTTTGTGCTCTTTTAAAGAACTATCTCTATGGGGTCACAGTGGGATAATGTGCTTGACTGCAAGGTCAATTTGAGCCACAAGGTCGGCAGTTCAAGCCCAGCATCCACGCCTCGGAAAGCCTATACAGAATGGCTATGACCAACTACATGGCACTTGTCACTTAACACCACCACCATACGGGGTCAGAATGACAATACAACCTGAAAGGGTCGATGGGAAACATAGGGGCAGTGATTGAAAGTGATGTTAAAGGAGGAGGAACAGTTCAGAAAGGGAGGGTGAGAGAATCCCTGCTCAACGTGAAAAATGTCCTCCATGTCATCAAACTGTGCGTGTAGAAATGTTGAACTGGTGTATGTTGTATTGTGTAAATACTCAACAATAGCAGATAAATAAAAATCATAACTTTTTTTTTATTCAAATAGATAGGTAGAGTTTAAACTTGAAAGAAAATGATGGAAAATTGAGACCTGTTTTAGAGAAGCTTGAATGATAAGTTTACGCTTTTCCATTTTTAATATCCCATTTTCCCTTCTAACCGTAACATCACTGAGGTGAGGGTCATTTAGGTTTTGAGTTGGTAAATTCCTAACATCCATCTTAAATGAGTGAGAGGAAGGCATTTGACTATTTAAAAATACACTAAAATGAATGGCTGTTAGTTGAGTAAATTGTAAAAGGATGGTCTACTATGAGTCTTTTTAAAATTTATTTAGAAAAGCATTCATTTGACTCTTGAGGAACAAATAACTGCTATTCAAAATCCTGGTGAGGTTTAATTGAACAAAAAAAAAAACAAAATGGAAACAAGACACTTTAGTATGTTGTTGTTAAGTACTTATCATACAGTACCACACCAAGATTCCCATGCTTTGTTAAAAGGAAGGGAAAATTTTTTTTTTTAATTTGTGTTTGTTCTACATATGAATCCTATACCAGGATCTGGTCATGTTAAATATGCGGTTTTCTTCAGAGCTAAGTAGTTACTGCTAAATTATAAATAAGAGATGTGTGGTAATATAGGATAGGCATTGAATCAGAAAGTCTGTTTGAACAACAAAGTTGATGGTTCAAACTCACCAGCCACTCCTCGGAAACCCTACACAGAGTTGTTATGAGTCATAACCAACTCAGTAGCACTTAACAACAACAAAAGGAAGCATATAGGTGTCCTGGTGTGGTGTTGTAGGAAAAGCACCTGAGTGCTACCTGAAAGCTTGGCGCTTCAAACCCACTAGTTGCTCCTCAGAAACCCTATAAAATATCACAGTGAGTTGGAACCAACTTGACAGCACTTAACAACAACAAGGAAGGATATGGGGAACCCTTATAGTGTAGTTCAAATCATCTAGCCAAGAAAGACGTGGCTTTCTGCTCCTGTAAAGATTTACAGCCTCAGAAACCAGATACTGGGTCACTATGAGTCAGAGGCAACACAACATAAGCAGCAGGAAAAATAGACTTAATGTTTTCCCCTTGATCTTGTTTTGTATGTTCTGTCTGGGCATTTATTGTGTATGTAACATACCTATATTTAACGGATTGAAACTGCTAAATAATAAAGGAAGATGTAGAGTGATTTACTCACTGGATGGACAAATGCCAAAGAGGTCGGTATATTAGAGTAGGTCTGGTTTGGAGTACATAAATAGAAGTGCCCTTGTTTATAGCTAGGCTATTAGCATTGATTACTTATGATTCCTAAAGTAACTGTCCCCAAACCTTTTCTCCTGTGCTAATGGAGTCCCATTGTGGCACTGCAGGATAATGCACTGGAACACAAGGGCCATTTGAACTGCAAGGTCAGTGGTTCAAACCCACCTTGGAGACCTTATACAGAGTCGCTGTGAGTCAGAACTGACTTGATGGCACCTAACAACAATTTCTGTTAAAGATGAAGGTCACTCGTGTGGCATACTCCTGTGGGCAGTGCTGGGATGCTGCCCAATTTTCTAGGTTAAACCACAATTCCATCCTTTCTCTCACATTTGTGAAGGAATTCTGACCTGGAGTGAGTAGTCTACTGACCACCACCACAACAATCGTTGAGAAACTCAATCTTCTATCAATAATATAAAAAATAAGTTAGGCATTTGTTTAAAAAGGATAACTTTTCTAATACTTCCATGCATGTTTACTATTTGTGTTCACTG